GACCAGCAGCAGTTCAACCCTGATCCGTGCCTGTCAGTTGTTCCCAGGAAGAATTTGCTTTGGGAACATGACATTTGGAAAGATTTATTTTATTTTAAGCCACTCTTGTTTCATTTTTTAGCAAGGTGAGGAATCCAATACACCCTACTCTGGGTAGGACCCTTTGAAGGGTTGGGATGGTCCAAGAATGACAATTTTATCCACAGCCTCAGAGTAAATATTCAATGGTTTGTAACTAAGGCATAAAGGAGTAGATATTATACAGTTTGGCCTCAGATGCCTTGTCATTTCCCAGTAAATTAAAGAGGCTTCCATTGGACCTATAAATTTATTGTCCCACTATTCTTCCATGATTGTAGAAACAGCTTGACCCTGTTTAGGCTGGAGTGTTCTGTTCCCTACAGATAACGAGAGCCTGGTGCTGGTCCTGTGCATTCCATGGCACCAATAAATTGAGCACAAAACCCTTTCTGTGGCTGTCACTCAGTGTTACTCTTTCTTTTTTACTGTTTTTTTCCCCAGAACCTTGTTCAGAGTCTTTGCCAGAGGGGGGGAGGGGGGTGGGGGGAAAAAGGTGCTCTGCTAATTACTTATGTGCTTATAAACCATGTTTTGATAGAAGAAGCATTGGAGTTTATTATGGATGCTGGAACTAATCCTGTGCAGGGTATGGGAAGCATATAGAAATCCATCCTGATTGCATTAAGTGGAATATTGAGCTCTGTTGATGCCTGGACAGTAGAAGTGCTGTGAATTTGGTAATCCAGGCATTTTGTGGACTGGATCCCAGTCTCGGTTTTATAGACACTGCAGGCACATATTCAGAGTCACACCAAAGAGTTCAGGAGCAAATCTCTAAGCCAGGTAAATTCTGAACATCTGAAGCACTTTGCTGAATTCATTTTTGAGGTCATTCAGTAGTTGCTGTTTATTCTGATAAATACAAAATGAAGCAATGTCCTGCCTTACTTTGGTCTACAATCTCCTGTATTGAAGGTTGGCTCACTCAGTTTAATAAATGTATGTACATGATGCTTGTGTTATATGGAGAGATGTTATATAGACCCAAATGCCCACAAACTGAAAAAAAAAAATGCACTTCAGCTGATGATCTCTTAAAAAAAAAAAAAACCAGACAGGAAGTACCAAGATGAGTTTGAGATTTGGAATAATCGTAGGGCTCAAAACTTTTGGTTTCATGTTGAGCCTACACTGGGCTGACCCTGCTGCTTTGATAGAATAAGGATAATTTTATTGGCTCAGAGTTCATTGAACCTTTTCTGCTTTTTACTGTTTTTCATTTTGGTACACAGCTTTGCCCCCAGAGCTGAAAAAGGATTAAAATGCCAGATAGGAGACAGATCACTCAGCATTTCTAATCACATACCAGAAACCTCAAGACACATAGTTCTCACAAGGTTTTCTACTCTTTGTGGACCATAAAAGGCTCAGATAACCTTCTAAAGTCCATTCTGATCTCTTTAGTCATTAAAAAATAAGTTTTTACTGAGAAACTAAACTAGGTTCCTGCTGCAGCCATCACATTCAATCCATCAAGTTTCACTCCACTGCTTCAGAAGTTACTTATGCATTCATTCACTGACAGTAACAGAAGTCTTCATTCAAAACAACATTCTGACAGTTGAAACAAGGCTGGAACTATTGCAAAAAATAATAATAATTTAAAAAGCCCTGGAGTACTGCAGGAAAACATTTCCATATGTATTATTTCATCATTTCATTTCAGATGGTCATGGGCATTTGCTTTCTAACTATATTTCATGTTCATGTTTCAGAAATGCTCCATCTGTTGTGGGTGGAAGAATAGGCTCACCTGCTCAGCCTCCCTGAGAAGCAGGCAAATACTGAATCACCTGAACTGCAAACTGGTAAGTTTAGTGTTTCATTTTCCATTACCTTCACCACTATGAAAGTGAATTTCAAATGAAGCAAGTGATTGACCTTCTTTCAGTGAGCTTCCTGGAAATTCCAGTCTTAGTAAATTAGTACTTCTGGTGCGTGTTCTCCTGCAAGGTAGGGCAGTCTGGTAGAAATAGCCAATTATTTGAACTACTAAAGTGCTTAGTGGCATTAGTGCAACTACTTCATGTCCTATTTATCTGTCTGTGATAAAACCTTTCGGTCTTGGCCTTGCTGAAGAAGTTGATGCTTTCAAAAATTCCAGCCTTTGTGTCTTTTCACTGAATTGTTGTATGTTTAAATTAGAGTTGACATTATTTATTTGCTCTTTATAGAGAGGCACTGCATTTCAGGCCCTGGGCATAGTCTACCTTTTCAGTACAGGTTTTCACAGCACCTAAAACACAGTAAAGATAATAAATGTAGGAAGATAACATCATGCCTTGAAGAGTGATGCTTCTACCCATGTGTTAATCTGCAGCTTACAGTTGGGGTAGCTGAAGACAGACCAAATGGGACCTGCTCTGAGAGGGAAGAGCTTCTGCAAACACACAAAATCCTTTCTTAGGATCTGCATTTGAATGGCAAACAGTAAAAAGTCACAAGCCACTCCAATGTGCTGTGTAGGAGCTCTCAACCATTTCTTTCTCTGGCATAATTAAACACAACCAGGCAGACACCACTCTCACACCCACATTCACAGCAGCCTGTGATCCAAAAGGCAGAAAAAAAATCAGCCACTTGCTGAGGGTCTTTTTTTTTATGGTTTAGAGGTGACTTTTCATTTCCATCATCTGAGCTGAACATTTTAAGAAAAGGAGTAAAAAGGCAAAGGGGGAGAAGGAGGGATGAGGTGTTTTGAGTCGCTGGGGGCTGTGATGCTGAATATGTGCAGAAACAGTGGCATCTAGTGGGCAGGTCCTCAGCTGAGGGAAGGCAGCAGGCACTGGATATGGAGCAAATCAGCGATTGAAGCTAGTGGTTATCCTTCTCACTTTCGTGGATGAAAGGCTTTCTCAAGTCTGTTGTAATCCTTTTCTTTTAAAAGCATTTGGAAACCAACTATTTTTCCAGCTTTCCCACCTTCAGTATACAACTTTCAGGACAGTTGTGCTTCCTATTTCATTTTTATTAGGCCCTCTCATGGCGAATTCCAATTATTTAATATGATGTAGATTACCATAAATCTTCCTCCAGCAGGAAAACTAATGGTTTGCATGTATGTATAAAAGTCCAGCATTTTTCCCCAAGATTTTAGACATGGACATAAAACAAACCTCCAACTAATCCTTGAACACACTCAATCTAGTTCAACTTCTGAGGATTTCCAGCACAGCTTTGAAGGACAGATCTGAGAGAATAAAGTCACACTGAAGGACTCTGAAGCAAAGTTTCACTACACCATTTCTGTAGCTATAACTAAGTATAATATTTATGCAGTGTTTACTTTTTATGCTAATCATGTATGAGTTTCTTCACTGCTGAGTCACAGTAAATGAGCTAATTTATTTATACCTGATCCTAAGATCCTGTTCTCTTATTAGTCCCCTGAATCACATGTAAAACACTGTGTGTGTGTGTGATGGACATGCAGAAATTTATAATAAGCAGGATGAGGGGTTGCTACATCCATGGCAATAGTCTAAAGCAGACACACTCACACCTTTGCTCTCTCTTTAGCCTTCAGAGTCTGCCAGTGGTGAGCAAACTTAGGAAAGTCTGCTGGGCTGGGCTGGGCTGGGCTGAACCCCTCTTCTTTGGTTGCCTCTCAGGCAGGCTGAAGGGTGTTTCTATGTTTGCTTGCAGGGTCCAAATTAATTTGTATGAATGGAAGATTTGGCTTCTTAAATCTGTCATGAATGGGCTAAAGACTTTCAACACTATACCATAATTTCTTCCCTTATGAAGTGGGAGAGAACATGGATCGTTGACCTGGAAGTACTTCACCTTTCTATGTTTCTGGTTTTCTCCTTGTTAATTAGATTTAATAATACTTAAATTTCTTTTGAGTTACCTACATGAGATCCTTCAGCCCTAATGTGGAAAAGCAAATTTTAAAACAATAAAATGTCCCTATCCCACATGTTTGTTTTAGGATTAGCTCAGTGTTACTGATGTTGGCCTAGAAGCTCCTACTTAACCTTGCCAGTTCTCTAACAAATGACTGAATATAACTAGGTGGGAGTTCTTTTATTTCAAAGAAGTACTTGAAAATCAACTTTCACAGGGTGAAAGTCAGCATAATTGGCATCAGCATGAATTTTTCATTGTGCAAGTAAAAACAGAGTCAGGATTTCACCTAATGACTTTAACTCAGAGAGATATGCAAATTTAGATCTGTGTATTGACAGTGTTATGAATGAAGCCCACAATAGCAGCCTGATTATGCTTTTTTACACTCCCAGATTTAATCTATGATTTATCTTGGCAGTAGGGGAAGGCAAGCCTTTGATGCTTTGAGATTTAAATTATTTCCTTGGAGTCATCTAGGGGAGTTCTTTTACTGGAAGGAAAAGTATAGTAGAAGGATTGTTGATCCATTCCAGCCTATCCAAAGCTCTGGAGCAGTAATTGCCTTATATATCTTCATAAAACTGTGTTTTGTTTTGCTACCAGTCCTCAGTCTCTTAGAGTGACTGCAGTGAGGAGCTCTGAAAGTTACTTTGGTCCATTCATAACTAATTCTCTTGCCATTACAGATCATAACAGTCATGTAAGAGCTATCAAGAAACTTTTCATGTTGTTTTGCAGATATCATATGTTTGCCATCTGACTGTACAAGATATTCTATTCCAAGGCACAGCTTATAAAGGCACACAGGCAGGAAAGGGTTGGCTGGATACATGTACCCCTCCTGGCAGAATTCTAGAGGAAAGGGATAGTTGTGCAGAGAAACTACAAAATTATTGGACTGCACTGTAGTGCTTCCCTAAAGCTGCTGATCCTAAAAAGTCCTCTGATGTTTCCTTAGTAATTCACAAGACTGAGCCTCACTTCCAGTGATTTTTGTCAGCAAATAGTATGGGAGACTAAGGTAACAAAATCATCTGAAAATGGAATTGAGCCAAGCTTTTATTATGGAACAATACATGAAATGCTCATCAGGTGATTAAACACAGTGTTGAGTAAATGTTATGTCTTCATGCAATATTGTTATTTAACCTAGAAAACTGCAATTAAGGATTCCTGCAAAGTCCAGAAAGCTGGCTGCCTCTTCATGTTGATATTCTCCCATTTTCTGTGGACCTCTCCATCTAAATTCCTCTTGCTTCAGACAGTCTGAAGCTGTGCCCTTTAAAGGACTAATCAGGGATTTATTCTTGCCCATACCTCAGAAACTGGGGGAAACCTTTGATTCATTTATTCATTTATTCATTTATGCAATCATTGCTGGTAGAAAATATAGGGTGGCCTATAACATATTTAACCACTTGTAGCTGGAAGTTTTGCTGTATCACTAGGATTGCACTGCATTGCAAAGAGGTTCAGGTCTACAGTGAGGACGTAGCCAATGCAGGAATAATCTTGTCCTCCATAACACAATCGTAGTATAAATCCATGGGTCCATGAAATCTGCAGAAAAAAACCCCAAAATATAATTAAAAACCATGCTGGCTTTGGCCATACTAATAACATCTAAAGGGCTTTGAATCATTTAAGAACTTTTCTAACAATAATTCTTCCCAGTGGCCGGTGAGAAGCTGCTGTGAAGAATTCCTGTAGCTAAGTGGGCCAGCTCTCAACTGTGCCTCAGCTGGAAGGCTTTTTGAAAACTGCCAACTTACCTCCTAAGGCTGAGGTTTGAGAACTTTATGGTTTTGTTTTTAAAGAAGTTTCAGACCTTTGGCTTGTTGTGGATTAGCCTAACTCCACTGAAGTCTACCACAACACCCAGATTTTTAAAGGTATTTAGATATGTACAAATATCGGAATTTTAAGCAGATGAACTTTCTGTCCCTTGAAACAGATCAGCCCTGACAGACATACATCTCTGTATTCTCCTGCTTAAATGCTTTTGAAAGCATGGAGCTAAATCTGTGACTTTTATGTTAAAAAGTTAATTGGGAGTGATATAGCATCACCTGTTGTGGTGATGATTCAAATTTATCCCAGCTGACAAATTTTAAAGAACGCAGGAAGGCTTCTCTGTCATAAAAATGTCCAAATATATGTTTTATATATATATATAAAGTAAGTATGCACTGTAGAAGAAATATATATACCAATTGCAGGGTAGGCAAAAGCATTAGACTGGATGCACTAGATCCCTGTTGCAGTGTGGGAGACAATGTGGATTCAGCCAGTGTTCAAGGAATTGTTCTTCTGATCTCTGCTCCAGGCGCTGGAGATAAAGCATATACTCCTATTGAAAGAAAAGAAGAAGTAATTTCATTATGTAATCACTCTATTCTAATGTCAGGCCAATGAACCAGAAGAATTTTACAGCTTATGTAAGAGCAATTAATTTACCTCTTAAAAGAATCAAATATAGTGAAACCGTGTTGCTAGTCAGCTTGCCCCAACCTAGCAATATTTAATGAATGACATCATCATCCACATCAGTAAAGGTGTCAAGGAAGAATCTTACAACAATACCCATAATTTTGGAAGTCTGCATACACATTTCTCATTTGCATATTGACACAGAAGCTTCTGTTGGTCCTGAGGGCACAGAGGATTCTCACAGAGAGGTCTGTTGTAGCCTCTTTTGAAAATTGATTCCTGCTGGTTAGAGAACATTAACCCCTTGTAGGATCATGTGGCAGAACTCTGAAGGGTTCTAGGAGGGTAGCACACATCAGTGGTCTTTCTGTGATAAATAAAATAATGTGAATTTCCCATACCAATTTATAAGGAGGGGGTTTGGTCCCAGCAACAAATTACCAAAGTGGGTAAATTACCAAAGTGGGGTGTGTATCAAAAACTTGACCTCCTTCAGGAACAAAATTTACTTTTAAAAATCCCCAATCCCAGTGCATGTGGGCTCATAAGCTTTTGAACAGTAGACACATTTATTCCAAATACACCCCGCTGCTTTGCACAGCAGGCACTGTTGGAATGGAAGCTGTGGCCTAAACCCTTTGCACTGGCCAAGTATTCCTGCTGTCATCCAGCTCCCTGCTCTTTGTGCTGAGCAGAGCGTGGGTACCCTGGGTGCCAGCAGGCAGCATTAGATTCCTGCCTTTTACTGGGCTCTCCTCACAGCACAGGGAGACTTGGCTCAAATCCCTGGTGAGAGACTGCATTAGGAACTGGCAGAGAACAGAATTATATGACTGAGAAGAGGCCACGTTACAAAAAGCAGGATCTCAGTCAAAGTAAGATTAAAACATGCTGATAGCATAAATTACATTTTTGTAATAAACAAAGGAGGCAGATCTTGCTGTCTGTATCTGAACAGGTTTTTGATTCCAACAGCACTGTGGAAGTCAAAGAGTGTCACAAAGAATTGCAAATTGCATTCCCCAGCTCAGCATGATCTGGCCTAGTACAAACAGCTTTTGCTTAAAATACATGAACAGAGGTGGGTTCATCCCAGAAATCATTTCATTCTGCTACAAAGCATCCATACAAAATCAGTTTTTCTCCTTGAGCCAGTGGCAGAACTATGCACAGGGATGCAGCAGCCTTGCACCTTCACTCACAAGGGACAATCTCCATTTTCCACATGGCAGCGAGGGTTGGCTTTTTACCAGAAGATGTTTCCTTTTCTACTGAAAACCTTGACATTTAGTGAGCAAAACAAATACTCTTATGTTTGGGTTTTCTTACAGAAGGTCAACTTTGCTGTCTAGAAATAGAAGCTTGGAATTTCTCAACAAGTGTTTGTTCCTAATTGTGGAAGGATGGAGAAGGAACCCATAAGGATCATCAAGTCCAACTCCCTGCTCCTCACAGGACTCCCTAAAACTAAACCATAGACTAAATGTTGCACGTCAGATTGTCACTTCTTGCAGTACAGGATTTACCTCAATCCAACTGTTCTGCTGCTTTATTTGCTTTGTATTCAGTATGTGCTATATTTACTATATAACATTAATCCTGGTGGTATATTAAGCACCAGCACAGATGGGAGCTGTTATTCCTGCTAATTTGCAAAAACTGCAAGGCTCATTTAGCAACAGCTTAGAAACCAACCCAGTCCTGAGTGTTGTGGGCAGCAGTGAAGCCGCGAGGGTTTTGGCTCTGTTGTGCAATCCTCAGTGTATAAGGCTGTTAACAAGTGTGCAGCAATATCCCTGTGACAGCTTTGATTTGTCGTGGTGTCACACCTGACAAACAGCGTGTTCATCCAGAGTGGTGCACGGTCAGGTGGATTCTTTTTGGCTGGTGTACAATACCCCCTGGAAAAAGAAAACCAGGAGCTGTCTCCACAGTCCTGGCACACTCTGAGCTCAATCCTCAAGGATCTAGTGCTCCTCATGTCTTACAGAGTTCAGAGGTGTTCAGTATCTTGCCAAACTGAGCCCCTTGCACTCGTCACACGCTCACAACCCGTTGGAGCTTCTGGCTTCTGTGGGGTTTGCCTCTTCAGAACCATGTAATTTTAGCTCAGTTTATTTACTTTGGAAAGAAACAGGCAGTAATTTCAAAATACCTTAAGTACCCTCGAGAAGTGCAGAATTATATGTTACATCTTGTCAAAGCCAGTAAAACAGAAGGCCCTTTAATTCTTTTACTTTTTTCTTTTGTTGCAATAGGGTTTAGTAATAAATATGTGTAGATATCACATGCAAACCCAATGCTGTTGCATTAAGCTAGCAACTAAAAACTCCTACAATATCATTAAAAAAATCCTATCTGTATGCATAAATTAGTGAAACTAAGTGATTTTAAAAGCTAGTTGAGAACTACCTCAATCTCCACACTGACCACTGACACCTGCATCTCCTCCCTGCCTGCAGTGCAGAATGTACTGTTAAGCAGAAGACATTTCCTGTTATTTAGTTTTTCAGGAACAACCCGATGAAATGCACGTTTCTATGAGTGAAAAGCCACTTTCTTCTCGATAATTCGATCGGCGTTTGTGAACTGCGGTAAATAATCTGCACGTTCTGCAAGTGAACATTTCCTGAGCAATACTCAGCACTTACAGAACGCTCTTAGCAGCAACTGAAAGAATGTAAAGGGGATTTTTGACATCTCGTGGAAGAACTCAGCAGCTCAAAAGGGTGACACTCATAACATATTGCTTGGAATTAAATCTAATTAAACCTAATGCTAAGCACAAATGTTTCGGGGGGTTTTGGTGTTGGGTTTTTCTTTGGTTAATGTAGTTTAATAGTAAATGTCAAATCACCCTCATTGGCTCATCAGGGAAACCAGCTTTTCTCGGTCTGCTTTCACGACGAGTTCTCAGAAGCTGCTTGGCCTCTTTTTCAGACAAAATCGGTGAAGTGTCTAAAGGCAGAAAAGCAGGAATTAGTTCTGAAATTATTAAAAAGGTAATACTTTGCCTGTCAGTTGCAAAATGAAGTGTCTCCAAACCTGATTTTTGTCTCAATACAAAGTGTTCTTTCATTACAGCCCCTTCCTAGGGGATATTGCATTCCAGGAGATAGGAGTGGAATTTTAAACCATTTTTATACTTGTTTTCTCTAGTTCTACTAGTAGGAAGCAAAGCCTACATGTTCATGTTACTATAAAATGAGGAAATATAACAACACCATCTAACCACTGGCATCAGTGGCTCTCCCAACTCTTTGTTCTTTTCTGTGTTGTTTTATAGGATTCTTTTTCAAAGTAATGAGTTAGGTGTTGAAAAGGAGAGATTGCAATGAACATTCCACTTGCAGGACCTCGGTAAAATAAGATTAAAATAGTAAGCTAGTAAAATGAAACTTTTTGGGTTGACAACAAATTACTCCAGTGTGGTGATGTAGAGAGTTAAACACCAAATACAACAGCATGATTGTTAAAAATCTAATGGTGGAAAACCTGCAGTATAAAATGTTAAGTATTAAAAATGAAAGATACAAAAATATATGAATAATGAAAACTAAAACAGAAGGTTGAACTAATACTACTTATATGCTCTTCAGCTCTACATACATACACAGGTTTATTGATATAAACTCCTACCTGAAACAGTGGTCATCAGGACCAAGAAGGAGACAAACACAAGAAACTTCTTCATTTTGATTCTGCTTTCTCTCAGTCCGTTCCAAAATGAGTAACACTGACCAAGGCATTTGCCTATTTGAAGCAGCTACGTCAGTCACAAATGTTTGTTTATGCTTTAATTTGAGTGATAGTATGATTTTGAAAACATCTGGTCTGAAGGTTTGAATTAGTCTATTATCTGCACACACATTCTCGACATAACTCTGTTCCTGGGGGAAAGAAAATAGAAGACCTTTTTTTCCACTTCAGGCTTCAGAGTTACACTGGGTATTTTAAATTTGTGAAAATAAAGCACATCACCTTACACTTGGCACAGCAAGCAAAGGTTTTGGACGCCTAAGGTATATTATTGTTTTTAAAAGAAACAAGTGCCTATTACAGAATGTTAATTTCGAAGGCAGCTGCAAATCTTTTTCAAAGATTGTCTCTAACTTTACTCCAGCAGAGAAATACAGACTAAAGGGGTTTAACTCTAGCAAAGCCAAATTATCACTGCTGAGAAACACAGCAGAGTTTTTTATCAAATTAATAGAATCATACAAGTGAAAACTCATGTAATTCCTCTCTTTGCAGGACAAGCTAGTAGAAAACAGGATTATAAATATCCTTACTAGTAAATGCAGTGTGAAGTAAGGATGAAGGTTAAGAAATGTCACTGCAAACAGGTAGTTTCAGCCTTGAGAAATGTGACTGGGCAGTGCTGTGCTGGACATAAAAACCTAAAAGCTAAAAATGTGAGTGCTGTGGGCACAAGGGTTTGACCAGAGTGAAGCTTGAGGTGGGGATGGGGCAGTTCAGAGGTCAGGCTGTTCTGACGTGCTTTTCTGACAGGACTGTTCTTGGAAACCTGGGTATTACCCACCTATGGAGCATTTGCATTTTTCAGCCTGTGGTTTAAGATACCAAGACCGTAAAATCCCAAGAAATTTTGTATATATTGTGTGGATTTGTGTCATTGCTCAAGATACTGTTTTGAAAGCACAAAAACCTGTAGCTTCTAATAAATAGCAGCCACTGTTTTTAGAACTGCTGCAGGGGAAACAGCCAAACATATGAGGACAGAATGAAATTATAGGGGAAAATATTTATGTTGGGCAATAAAAACACAACTCAGGGAGCACCTCATTGCTGTCCACAACCACCTCAAAGGAGGGTGCAGTGAGGTGGAGGCCAGGTTCTTCAGCCGTGCCTGCAGTGAGAGGACCAGAAATGGCCTTAAACTGAGACCAGGGAGATTCAGATTAGATATCAGAAAAAATGTTTCACTGTTTGTGTGGTCAGGCTTGGAACAGGTTGCCCGGGGGGGTGGTGCAGTCACCATCCCTGGAGGTGTTCCAGAGGAGCTGGGCGATGTGGTTTGGTGGTTTTAGGGGTTACAGTGGCAGTGCTGGTGGACGGTGTGAGTGGATGATCTTAGAGGTCTCTTCCAGCCTGGATGATTCCGCGATGCTACGACAGAACGAAATCATGGGGAAGACCACTGACGGTCGGGCAAACAAGGCACAAACAGGGCGGTCATTCGGCCTTCTGCCCGGACCCGGTGGAGCCGAACCGCTCCGTCACGCACTGCGGCGGGTGCCGGCGGCGCCCCTGGCGACATCCGCGATGTCGCGACAGGCCGGGGGGCGGGCGGCGCCCGTCTCCTGGCAACCGCCTCGGCCGCTCCTTCCGCTTCCGCCCCCCGCGCGTCCCGCGGTGCCGCTCGGACCGCGCCGTGTCCTGCGGGCCCTGCCCGGCCCTGCCCGGCACTGCCCTCGGCAGGAGACCAGGGAGCGGCGCGGGGGCCGCGGGTGGGGCCACGCCGTGCCCCCCGCGGAGGGAAGGGCGAGGGGCGGCCGGCGGTCCCCGCGGGAGCAGCACGGCCCGGGCGGGCGGCGGAGGAGCAGCCCCCGCGGGAAGCCGCTCGCCCTGCCGATGTGGCGCAGGTCGGTGCCGAGCGGCGGGCAGGGGTCGGAGGATGGTTCATGAAGCTGCGCGCCGGCTCGCTGAGCGCAGGGGCCGCGCCGGGGCTCGCCCCGCCGCCCGCCCGAGCGGAGCGAGGGGTTAGTGCGGGGAGCCGCGGGCATGGAGGGCCCGGGCGGGCCCGACTGGCGCCTGGCGCTCTGGACGCTGTTCTCCGTGCTGCTGCCCGTGCTCATCACCGCCTGGTGCAGCTTCCAGCGGTCGCGGCGGCAGCTGCTGATACGGGACATCTTCCGCAAGAGCAAGCACGACTGGCACTACACGGACCTGTTCGGGCAGCCCTCGTACTGCTGCGTGTGCGCCCAGCACATGCTGCGCGGAGCCTTCTGCGGCTGCTGCGGGCTGCGCGCCAGCGAGCGCTGCCTCAAGAAGGCGGACCAGCGCTTCGCCTGCAAGGAGATCATGACGAGAGGCGCCGGGGCAGCCCAGAGCTCCGTCCCGCACCACTGGGTCAGGGGCAACGTCCCCCTGTGCAGCTGCTGCGTGGTGTGCAAGCAGCAGTGCGGCACCCAGCCCAAGCTCTGCGACTACAGGTACGGCTGGGGGCTCAGGCTGTGTAAGACAACGTTCGGTGCCGTGTCATTGTTGTGTTTTCTGCAGGGTTAATGGTAGACATCACCCCGAAGGAGGTCTTGCAGTAGTCATATAAGAAATGGTTAAAAAAAAAACCCCAAGCTAACTTCAAAGAGCCTAAAATTAAAATGGATGCTTGTGGGTAATTTGAGTCATAGATTAAGATTAGTGCGGCATTGCATCTCATGGCCACTCGTTCTCTTAATTGCATTACTCCAGCATGATGGGCAAGCTGCCCTGTAATTACATAGAAGAGGCTCTCTGTGTCCAAGAGAGTTTGTGTTTTAGGGGGTAACGCTAAGAAGGTTCTGATACATTTGTCATTTGTACAGTGGGTAGCCTGAGCAATGGGTGGCCCAGCTCACAGTTCAGAACACCAGAGTGTGTTTGCACATCTCAGAATTGCCATCTGCTCAGTGTAAACGGAACAAACAACTGTTCTATAGATGTTTCTGGTTCACTTTTAAGGATGCTCAAAAAAAGCTAATGGGAAGTTTTATAACCTACTGTGATATAATCTATTAAGATTTTCTGCTAAGAGTGTTTAAAAATGCAAAGAACCATTAAATGGTCTTTCATTTGTAAGGCTGCTTGCAAAGTTGTCTGTGGCATGTTGTGCCAAAATACAGCGATAGTGCCCCATGTCCTGGGTACAGCGTGTTGCTTCATACTTCCCAAAGGATGTCCTCTTTTAAGCTTATTTTTTGCCAGCTTTTGCTTTGCTTCTGTGTGATACTGGCAAACTGCTTGGTAAGTAAGCAGAATTACAGTGTAAGAGTATTACTTTCAGAAACAAAACCTTGAGAGTGTGTGTAGGAGAGGAGGAAAGGGGAGCAGTTTGGAGGCAAAGGGGAAAGGAAGGAAGAAGAGGAAAAGAAAGTCCTAGTATAGGGCAAGTATCATTGCTACTCGTGTGTTGGATTAGTCAGGGGAACTCCAAAAATAGCTTTCCCAGCTGCTTAAATCAAGGCTTTGGATGTACCAAATGAGGATTAACATTCTGCAGAGGCTGGTAGTGGATATTGCAGTATTTCCTCTTGTTCCGGTCTGTTTTCCAGGGCAGCTTTTAGAATAGGTCAAAAAACAGCAGTTTTGCATAACAGAATCCCATCAGCCTTGTACTGTGCTGTGCAGCCTTTTAGGTTTCAGATTTAAAGGGGTAATACCAGTATTAAGAAATGCATCAATTAATGTTGCTGGTAGTACTTTACTGAATTGATCTCCAGTGTTTTATCTGTGCTCTTTAAGGATAGAGAGGAGTTCAGGTTCTCATACAGGCTTTCGGTGTAACTGTTAATATCACAAACAATGCAGGAGGATATTTATAGCACCTGTATTTTACTGAGAACAAGATTAACTTACAACTGTCGGGGTTTTTTTCCCCCCACAGAATTCAAATGCTTTCCTAGACTTGAAAGCACATGAGCAATTTATGTCATTTTCTGTAGCCAATACATATTTTTCCCAGGAATGCATGGTTTTCCCTGTAATGTGCTTTAAATATTACTTATAATGGTGTGTGCCAACATAAGTAATTTTCTGAGAGTTAGTCTGCCTAAAATAAATGAGCAAAATCAACGTGCCTGTTGTTTGAGGGTTGTTTTCATGCTCTTTGGTCTTTTTTTTTTCCAGATGTGCATGGTGTCAGTACACTGTGCATGATGAATGCATGGTGGATTGTTTAAAGACTGAGGAGTGTACATTTGGAGAATTCAAAGACTTAATTATCCCACCCTACTATTTGTCTACAATCAACCAGATGCGTAAAGACAAAAAAACCAATTATGAAAAGGTAATGGCCTCCTGCTTCTTGGACCAAATAAACTCACAAACACACATTGAAACTTGAACTCAGTGCATTGTCAGGTTAATAACTATCAGGTGAATGTTCCAAGGTATATTAAGTACTTGCAGTGCTAATTCAGAGCTGTTTGTCATTTTACTAACAGGGTTGTCGAAGCACAGTCATACAGGTGAATTTTTTTATTCCAAAATACTGACATTTGAGTGCGTTTTGTGATTATATATTTATTAATTTTTACTACTGTGTTCATAACATTGTAGTGTTTGTTTTCCTGGGCACTGCAGAGTCTTCAGCCTTGGTGTGTCAGAAATACTTGTTCTGTTTTGACTCCTTGGGACTAACTGGTGACCTCCTCCTTTCAGCACTGACAGGGGGTGGGTTTTGGAGCAAGGCTGAAAACACTTTCAAACGTGCAGTATTTGTGTGACTGACTGACTGACTGACTGTCACCTTTTGCAGGTGGTACCTTACAGCAGAAAACACTGGATGCCAGTGATCGTCCTGGCAAATACTCGCAGCGGGAACAACATGGGCGAAACTTTACTTGGAGAGTTTAAAATGCTGCTGAACCCCGTTCAGGTATTTGCTGTGAAAAGCTGCTCTCCTAAAATGAAGGTTTCAATTAGAATGACCGTCACTTTGCTTGCACAATGGCAGCAGGATTTTTTGAATAATCAGTAGGAAACAAATTCATGCAGTTTGCTCTTTTGGAAAGAACAGCTTCGTAAAGAGAA